AGGTTATTTCCCACTTTACCTAAGGTGAATGCAAAAAGAAATTGTGTTTCTTTTTCTATCAGGGATCTTTCAGTCTTACATATCTGTTATCATTATAATCACTATAAACCTATAAACTATTATCTATCACCAGTAGATAATGATGACCAGTAAGGCAGAGAACAGCTTTCTGTGAAGGAAAGAAGAGACAGAGTAGTTGAAACCATAATTTCTCTAGCTATTCAATATTTTCTTCCTTTTATCTGCCTTTTTGTCTCCACTATCCTATCTGTGAGACTCTTTCAGTAAATTGAGGGGGAGTACATAGTTCATTGGGGCAAGAATGTTAGTATTTCCCATATACAGGTCCTTATAAAAGTATTCCTATAATAGACTTGACATATTTTATCTCAATATGGTTTACAAATATAAAAAAAGAGTAGAAATAGTATAAGATGTTTTAAAATCATTGAAAAGACCCAGACCTAAAATTACATAGGAGATTCAGGGGAAAAAAGTTATTAAGTATTTGGAAACTGACTGAAACCCAAGAGCTAATCTTACTTCCTGGAAAGCAAGTGGCAATGTGAGTTTTAAAAGACTTAGGTGAGGTAAGCTTCAAACACAAACAGAGACATGTTGAACTTGGGCATACAATAGTATGTAGAGATAGACAGACTTCTAAATGGGAACAAAGAGTGATTTCTCTTTATTTTCCTGGAAACATGACCCAAAGTTAAAAAGGAGACATTCAGCAGAATGATAAGAAAATTTCAACTTGCTTGGAGGTTTAGGAGTCAGTTCTAACTGATATGAAGTATTTAGTAACTAATTCCCAAGTAGACCCTTTGATTTAATTTAATTCACCTAAACAAGCCATTTGATGAATTTAAGATTACTAAATCTTAATATTAAAAATGGAGTAAAGTAAGTCCAGCAGGCAAGAAGGAAGACTGCATAATTCTCAATCTGATCCTCTGTTGCCTCCAGCAACTTGATAGTCACCAGTTTCTGAGACTTCTTTTGTTTCTCTCTTTACTGGTTCTTAAATTTTAGCTTGCGTAGGAATTATTATATCAGACGGTCTACACAAGTTCACACAGCCTATATTTACTAGGCAAATTAGGGTATTTACCTGGGTGGATTCGACAATACTGGTGTCAGTTATATTACTATCATTCTAATGAGATAGCCATGGTAGAGAGAGTGTATTCAGCAGACAACCTTATGTGTGAAATGCCTATTGTACACTGGTGATATAACATCCTGTGTCTAGGTTGATTCAGGTGAATGGAAAGAAGCTGAGAAGATTCAGTGCCTGAATCCTGTACTGGGGTAAACAAAGGACACCTGGAGATTGGATTTTTTTATTGAACATTTAAAAATATATTTCCATTTTGGTTATACCTGATCACATGCTAGGCCTGTGTTTCTTGGAGAACCTGATGAGGCCATTTCTCTTGTGTCAAGTTTAGGGATGGGTTACCTTACCTGATCATTAGTTACCTGCTCAGAACATTTGCTAACTCTAAATTTAATGAAGCGTATTTTGCCTTTCAGATGTCCTCTGGAACTATCTAGAGACACTTCTGCAAAATTGAGAATCAGTAGTGCTGCTGATTCTCTTACAGTGCATTGGACAGCCCCAGAACAAAGGACAATGGCCCCAAATACTAATGTGCCAGGGATGAGAAAACCTGAACTAGAAATGTCCTCCCTTAAGTTTCAGTAGAAACAACAGTGACTAAAGGGAAGTCTTGAGAACTGTCTTCAAAGAAGTATAAGTTCAAGATAATAAAAGATGGACTTCTGAGGGTCACATTGTGGAGCACATTATTCATTCTACAGTTGTGCACCTGCCTCCATTCACAGGAGCCTGGCTGCACCCTGTCCATGCCATTTTGAAAGTGTGGGGAAAACTGATGAGGTCTAATTGAGCTTGGTTAAATGAAGTCCTTAGGGGAAGCCCCAGACTCCTTGCTCTCAAAGGCTGCTTTATGCACACTCCTGTTTTATTCTCCATGGAGCTGCAGGGAGAAACACATATTGTATTCTTACCTGTTCAGCAGGTTTTGTCTGAACAGTATTTGAGAAAGAGATACCAATTAAAGAGGAAGAAAAACATGTTTGGCCTTTGATTCCTGGAAGGTGAACTCGATATGTGTAACTCTAGACTATTTTGTCTAGAGGTGGGAGGAAGATGCTGAAAATGCATTTAAATTTTATTATCTACTCTTTGGGTCACCAAGATTGTGTGTTCTTTGTTTTGAGTAGTGCTACTTGATATTCACCCAATCTGATTTCACTTTAGAGCCTTGTTTCTGAAATTCTACTTCACCTTTTATATTTGAATCTGGATCCTGAATTGATGTGGTACTGATAGACTATATTGTCCTTAGGATTCTGAGGTGAATAAGAGTATACAGACTATGAAGAAGAAGCCTCTGGTACAGATTTGTGCAGATTGTCTGCTTGTTTTTGCACATGAGAGACCGTAACTATTTAACAAGTCCTTACTGTTGAATATTCAGTTTTTTTTTCTCAAGTTTTAGGAATTATAAACAAAATCGCAATTGACATTGTCATGGCTAAATAAGTAACATTTCTTGAGGTTACTATCTAAAAATAAAAAGGAAAATTACTCAAAGAGAATACAAGTTTTTATGGTTCTTGGTACAGTTTTCCAAAGACCCTCTAGGGAGTCATATTCTGAGTTTATAATTTGATTAGATGTGCATGGACATGAACGTCTTTACTTAGAAGTCACAAACTGAGAGGCACAGTAGGAATGTCAAGGGGGTTCTATAGTACTGTGTGTTAACCTACAAAGTTATGGCATAACCTTTTTGGGGCTCGTTCTCTTATTTCTTTTGCCCTAACTTATTTGATTTCAGCTATTTGCTTATTTCAAGAGCATATGAGGCAGCATATGCTGCCTCAGAGACTTTGTACTTATTTTTTCCTTAACCTGGGTCATGATTTCTCTGGATATCAACTTGGCTCATCTCTTCATGTCTCAGTGGTTGTTACTCTAGGGCTGCCTTCTTCAAGGAAGCTTTCCCAGATTTCCTTGCTTCGTTTTTCTCCACATGTAATGAAGCATCTAAATTTGGTGATGTATACCCAGCACTGTGAATAGGTCTGGCACAGAGTAGAAGTCAATCATCATTTTTAAATGAGTGACTGAACCACACAGCTTTGTAGATTAGTTTTAGCTGGTGAGACCTGATTAGCTTCAGAGCAGGCTTCAATCGTCACCTTGGGCCAAAGTAGCAGCATTTTTATTTGGGTTCATTTCCTTTACTTGTCAGTTTTGGTTAAGCTAGTTATTTATATAGCTACCGGTGTTTTTGAGGCTTCCATTATTAACTGTGGTCACTTATCTTCTTAGTAATGTCCATCTGCCACTGAGATGTGGGAAGTAACTGATTAGACTTACTCTGCTCTGATAAAGAACCAAATGCACATTTTTGATTAGAATCTTTATATAGAAATCAATTTCTAAAAAAAGACTATAAACCCAATATAAAAAGGGCAAATGCATTTGTATAGTTCATAGAAAAGTGAACATGGGGCTTAGCCTCTTTTTCAAATCACTAGGAAATACCAGTTAAAAGTCCATTGAAAAACTTGTTTACATTAGCCAAGTTTACAAAATCCAATCTGTTGGTGAGGCTATGGGTAACTAAACAGCCTTATCCTTCACTGCAGGGAGTATTGATGGATATAATGCACACAGAGGGATATTTGGAAATACCTATCAAATTTAAAAAAGCATGTGTTCTGTAACTCAGAAATTTAACTTATGTAAATCTGTTGCAATGATGGAATTGTTTTGCAAAATGATACATGCATAAGGTTATTAATTATAGCTGTCTTTATGGTAGCCAAAGGTAAGAAGTGAATGAAAGACCCATAGCAGGTACTGGTCCATCAGCTTGGATACCTCCAATAAAAGAGCAAATATGTAGGTGTAATCAGAACATTTGTTAGAGTTGATTTAGAAAGATTTAGTAGATATACAAACAAGCTACAGGCCACAGAATGCTTCCTTTTATATATTAAAGGATGGGGAATAAAATATTTTTGTATTTGCCTTATATGTGAAGAAATTCTGGAGGGCTACCAAAAAACAAACCAAAAACCCAATAACAGAAGAGTACTAGAGGGATAAAGGGTGGAAGCAGCTTTTGGGTGTGTATGTAACTGAGGAATTTCAACACAGTGTATCTTCACACAAACATACATGTGAAAACACACATTCAAGTTTTTGAATCATATGGCTGTTTTTTCCTATTCAAAAAATATAAAGTAAAAATCACAGTAAAAGAAATGGACTAATTTGGAAGAGGCATTTGAGAGTAATCTTAAACTCCCTCCCGGTAAGCAATACTTCCCCTTCCAATGAGAATTCAAGATCTGTTCTGAATGCTATAGGAGCCACCTCAGTCAGTTTTCTTCCCTCCTGGGAAGGTGCATTATGTGAACTGTCCTTGGGGAAGGTGTGTGTGTGTGCATGTATGTGAACCTTGGGACATTTCTCCTTCCTCTTGATATCCTGGTTGCTATAGCACGGAGCTATATTTGTGACACACAGACAGAACACTTTAAAAGAAATGCTGCTTCCTGACCATGACTTCCTGGGCAATGTGCCCTTCCGGAGACTGTTAAGCACGAGGGGTTTACGTGCACTTCTGGACAGAGTGAGTCCAGCGCTTTCAGACGCCAGGCACCTTACAGGGCCCGGTGGTAAGGGACGCTGTATCCAGGGAAGGGCAGGGTGAACAGGCCTGGAGGGGCAGAGTCTTCTGGCCATTCTAACTCTAGTGCGAGGGCACCTCCTTGTTTGTCTTCTCTCCTCAGAGCCTGCTGTGCGGGTGGTGCATGTGGCGCCCAGTGTCTTCTGCGTTCAGCCGTTTATTTTACCTAAACCACCAGTGAAAACAGGAAGTGATGAAGCAAAATTTGTCCTACATCTGCACTAAGCTACTTTTCTTTCTCTTTTTGTCATTCCTCACTAGGTTTAGACACGTGCGGCTACCTACGCGATAGGACCCCAGTTCCACCGGCTTTAGACTCTCTCGGGGTTTACCATGCCGCCTCCCGCGGACATCGTCAAGGTCGCCATAGAATGGCCGGACGCCTACCCCAAACTCATGGAAATTGATCAGGTTAGCTTGCGGGCTGCTGTTTGGGGATTATTTTCAGTTTCCTTTCTGTTCTGGAATTTTCAAAGACTTGGGTAACTTTTCCCCCACCTTTTTCTCTCACCTTGTTGAAAAGAAAAAAAAAAATCTTTGTAATAATAGTTGAAGTGTAGTTTAATTTCTGCACAACACATAGTGAAGATGAGGTTATTATATCCGTTTAACATCTACTTAGAATGTGTCAATACAGGGTTTGTGTCTGAAGCTGAAAAAGAGGGGGGAGGGACAAGTGGACTAGGTATTTGGGCAATGGGCACAGTGGAGTATTCCCGCCCTGCCTTACAGGGATTCAGGCATAGGTGCAGGTTATTTTACATTGGCAACACCAAATTTAATTTTTTGAATCTGTGCTTCTTACAGAAGGCGCCATCCAGTGTATTGGTGCTTTGTTACGTTAGGGGATTTATAATGAAGTTGATATAGAGGGGCCCAGTCTTGGATTGTGGCCAATTGTAATTTTACTATTAATGTTAAAAGCACCATGGCTAGTATGTTGTCTGGCATGTAATAGATACTCTGTAAAAATTTACTGAATAAAAAATCAAGGATATTTTAAAATGGTTTTACCTCTAAAGGCATCCTTTAGCTGGCTCAAATATACTTATTTTCAAATTATCTTAATAAAGTTACTTTTGTCATTGTAGAGCACATAATTTTAAGGAACAAAAAGGTTGAGACCTAAGGTACTCTGAAGCATATAATGTACGATTCTAGATGGCTTTTGTGTTTTCAAAATTAGGGTACCATGGTAACCTAACTTTTTAACTCATATACTTGATAACACTCTGTTATTATGATCTGTGCTTTTTTTCCCGCCGGCCTGATTTTATTATGTTTGAAGACCACTGCAAGAGTTAGATGACTCTGTATATATCCAGAGAATCATTAATATAAATTATGAAAGTCAAATCAGATTTACCTGTTGAGTTTAAGCATGATTATAAGATTACAAAAAAAGTTTTAGAATGTTTGTCAGAGATGACATCAAACTGGTACATCACTGTCATTTTAATTGTTCTTTGATGTAATTTTGTGATTCTAGAAGCAATTCACACATGTAGAGAAAGCTGCCCAGCACTTTTATATACATTTGTGTCAGACAGAAGTTGTTTATCCTTTTCATGTCCTAGCAGCTCCTGATATACACTCCTAGGGGCTTGTGGCATCAGCGTCTTCCTGCTTCTACTTTCAGGATGACCTTTGCTGTATGTATGTCTTAATGACTTTTTAAAAAAAAAAAACTTTTTTTTCTTTTTGAGGGGTGGATTTTTTTAGATTTACAGAAAAATTACACGTTGTAGAGAGTTATATACCCTTCACTTGGTTTCAATAATGTTAACTCTTAAAATAATTAATTTGCTAAATTTCAGATATTAACAGTGGTTCATTGCTGTTGTTTAAACGACGGAATTCATTAGATTTCACCAGTTTTTCCATCAATATTATTTTTGTTGTTGTTGTTCCATGATTGAGTCCAGGAACATCAACCACATTATAATATAGTTGTCATGCTTCCTTAGTCTCCACCAATGTGACAGATTCTTCATTTTTCCTAGCTTTTCATGGCCAGATAGTTTTGAAGAGTAACATTATTTTGACATAGTTTCAAACAGAGAAATTACAGAAACAGCAAGAATTGTACTCCTGTCTACCTTTTATCTTAATTATTTTGCTTCATTTGCTTTTTTTTTAGTTTCTCTCTCCTTTTTTATTTTTAAAGATTAATTTTCTTTTTAGTTTTATGCATATGAGATATTCATATGAGAGTTAGGGTATAGGCCAGAGGGATGAGAGAATTCACCAAAAATAGAGTGGGGAACAGAACAGGCAGACTGACAGAAGTACCCTGCTGAGGGGAACAACAGGTGATATAGAATTCTGCTGTACCATATGGGTCAACAACCTGGGCAGGGATTGAACTAGTGCTGCAGTGGCTGCTGATAGCTTCATAAGTACTGAGACTTAATCCCTTGTTTCATCAGGGAGGCCTGCTCTCTCCCTCTTAAAGATCTTTGTATCTCTCTGTATCTAGGTATATCTCTATCTCTGTCTACCTGACCTTCCTTTGTCTGAACCATTTGAAGAAGGGAACCATCACTCCCCATTACTCCTCAATACTCTGTATTTCTTAAGAATAAAGTAATTTTGTTATATAACCACAGTTTTATAAAAGTAGGAAAATGAATATACAATGCTAACATCTAATTCCAAGCCTAAAGTTCATGATCAAATTTTATGTTATTCCATTGATAACTTTATAAGAATACTTTATAGAGAGTTTCTTTATAGTGATATCCCTCCAGAATCATATATTATCTTACTTCCCTCGTTTGCCTAGTCTTTCTTTATCTTGCCTGGCTTTGATGGCTATTTTATGGAATGTCCTTCAGTTTGGATTTCTTAATGTTTCCACCCAGTTAGATTCAGATTTCATATTTTTGGCAGAAATATCAGAGAGGTGATGTTGGTGTATCATGTCAGGAGGTACATGATGCTGCCTTGATGCAGTTGGTGATGATTCTGGTTTTACAAATAAAATATGTAGGTTCAGAAAAGCTAGCTGATCTGTTGGTTAGTGACAGATCAAAACACAATCCCAGATCTCATTTACCCTTCAGGTTAAATACTTAAACTGTTATCTGATTGTAGACCTTGTGGTAATATCATATGGAGTACCTGCACAATGAGTTATCAGTAGAAACTCAGTCCTTTATGGCCATTGGCTGTGGACACTGGAGTGAGACACATGTCAGTGTTGTGTTAGTTTTTGTGTTGAATGAACTAGGAGTTGGCAGGAAAACTGGAAATGCATTTGCACATGCAGTGAAATTTTGAGCAATGATTATTACTTGGGGTTTCCCCTAATCTTTTATCTTGTTCAATAAGTCATATAACCTGTTGTTCTCCTATTGCATATTACTTTCATTTCAAAAATTCTTTACGCTTTTTTTTATCCTGAGTAGGTACTATTTTACTAATGTTATTTATGAAAGTTGGCTTTGCTTTGCTGCTCTGTGCCCTCCCCAAACCTAAGGTTTCATGTTGTATTGCCATTGTCTATCATCTTGGTCTTCAACATTGAGTGAGTCTAAGAAACACCCAAGAGACAGTTCCAGGCCCCGTTGCTTAGATTTGATTCTGCAGGAGTGGATTCCTTAATCAGGGTGTGATAAGCACCAGGTAAATCTCCTACAGGGATGCCAGCAATTTAAGAAAGAGTCATGAGCCTTTCTTTGAATGTTGTTTCTCTAATACTTGCTAAATAATCTTTCTTTAATAAATCGATATTTAATTAATGGATAAGCAGGAGACAGAGTTTCCTGAAGAGGCATCTATTCAACTGAGCCGTTCTATTAAGTGTCCATTGTATTAAAGGGGATTTTGAATGCACAGGCCTGGTTTAACCTCCTTTCTAAATTTTGAGGGGAAAACTTCCATGTTTCCACTCAGTCAGAAAAAGCCCTGAAGGTTTTTACAAATGGAGTTTGCTGCATCATTTGATTCTCTTGAAAGAATCGCCACCTAACTTGTTCATGGCTTGTCATGACTTTCATTGTCTGATGTTGAGTTTCACTTTGGAAGCTGCTTGAGGCTATGGGTGGTTGTCTGAATACATGGAAGCTAAAAGGCTCCCATTTACTGTTCTTTTTAACTTACTGTTTACCAAATAGTGTATTTCTTAGTCAAGTACATAGTAACCCAGTCACTTTGACAAGAGGTGCCAGCTGAACTGGCCTAACAGATGCAACACAGGAACATTTAAGCTGGGATATGAGCCAGGAACCCACCTTTCTTTGAGAAGCCTATGTAACTTCTGAATTTTCATCTTGTAATGCGTCCTTGTGAAAATTAAAGGAAATACATGAAAAGACATTGCCTGCTTCAGAGTAACTCCTCCATAAAGGCCATCATTATTGGTACAGTTCAAGTTCTCACTAGATTAGATTTCTTTTTTTTTTAAATTTATTTATTTATGCATACAGAGCTGGGGTACAGGTCAGAGGTGCAGGGGAGGTGAGAGGATTCATCAGGGACAGAGTGGGGAGCAGAACAGGCAGATCAATGAAGTATACTGCTGAGGGGAACAGCGGGTGGGTCAGGAGAGGTCTGCCATGCCATGTGGGTCACCTCAGGGATGGGTATCGAACTGGTGCTGAAGTGGCTTTAGCTTCCTAATGCTATGCTTTAACCTGCTGTGCCACCAGGGAGGGCCCTAGATTTCTTTTTTACCCATCCTTCATCATTTATATTTTCGTCCTTTCCCCTTTTTTCCCTGACTGACTATTAAAACCTTTATGGAGGAAAGAAAATTAAAGGACAAGTAGGAGAGAGCATCTAGTAATCAAGACACATGTTAACTGAATTTGTGGCCAGTTCATGCTATAGAATTATGACTGGCACCCTAGTGCTCCTTTATATATCTAAATATATCTATGTATACTTGCACACACACCTATATATTATATATATATATATATTTAAATTTTTTTCCCCCTCTTTTCATCTCTTGACCATCCACCAACTTCTGGGCAGCAGCTCTTTTGTTCATTGCAAGTGATTTTCAAACCCAATTTCTTTCATCCCAGGTCTGACTCCACTTACCTCTCTTTACAAAGAGTGTACTAAGGCCAGAACAATTTCACTCCTCAATCAGTACTTTAGACATCTCTGTCAATAATGTATTTGCTTGCCAGCTCAGAACACTTGATGCCTTTGTCTCCTGCCCTCCTGTCCTTTTCCACTGCCAGCAGAAGAAGGAAGCAGTGGTCCCACTATCTTCTTTGGGCATTCAGCCTGGACCAGCCCTATTCTTTTGATGCACTGGTGTTTGAATCCATCCTTTCCAGCTTATCTGAGGCTTTGTCCTATCAATATCACCCTGATTGTTATTTTCTCCCCTGCATTTAATATTAAACTTTTCTTTCCTATCTCAGAAAATCTTCCTGTTGTTCGAGAACTCTCCT